CCATATTGATGATATGGCAATATGACACATTTTGGGTGTCAGTTTTCTTAAATAAACCCCTTGGGTTTGTTCTTGGCCCGTTCTTACCTATCATGGTGTAATGGTTTTGGCATCATCTTGGAACTAAAGAGCTGGCATCTGGCTGGGCTTCATCCTCTGGACAGGACTCCTGCAAGGCCCAGGAAGTGCTGGGTTGGAAATGCTGAGTTGGAAATGCTGCTGGAATTCCCATGGGCACTTGGAGGATGCCTGGGGCCTCTCCTGTGTGCCTGCCCAGGTGAGCACACAGCAGCAGGAGCTGGAGCCCAGGCTTTCCTACAGCCCTGGCTTTGCTGTGCTTCACAATCTCATCTGGATAATGCTGCTGCACTCCAAAAAGGATCTGAGGCACGGGATGCTCCCTGCACCCAAACCCCTCTGACACAGCACAGGAGGAAGCAGAACAGCTTGCCAGGCATTTCCCAAAGATTAGTGCTGCAATTCTGGGGAGAGCAGGCTCAGCTGCTGTCTGCTGGCACGAGAGCTTTTGTTCCTTTTGAGAAATTCCCCTCATGGTCTCAGCCTGCAGCTGGAATTGCTGGCTCTGTGTGCACCTGCAGGGAGTGTGCTGGTGGAGCAGGGGAGTCTCTGGAGGAAATTCCAGATTCCTGGAGCAGCCAGGCTGGCCTGGGCTGGATTAACAGCTCAGAGCTGCCATCACACATCCAGCCACGTGTGCTGTAATTAGGAGCTGCAGCTTTAAAGGTGGGCCCTGCAGCCTGGGGCCATCTGCTGGGCCAGGGGTCAGCCCAGGCACTGCCCTGAGCCAGCCTAAGCTCGGGGGGGCTTAGGGCTGCTCCGAGGGACGCACAGGGGTTAGGGCTGCTCTGAGGGACACACAGGTTAGGGCTGCTCCGAGGGACACACAGGTTAGGGCTGCTCCGAGGGACACACAGGTTAGGGCTGCTCTGAGGGACACACAGGAGTTGGGGCTGAGGGACACACACAGAGCACAGGGGTTGGAGCTGCTCCCAGGGGGACACACACAGAGCACAGGGGTTAGAGCTATGCTGAGGGACACACACAGAGCACAGGGTTAGGGCTGAGGGACACACACAGAGCACAGGGGTTAGGGCTGAGGGACACACACAGAGCACAGGGTTAGAGCTGAGGGACACACACAGAGCACAGGGTTAGGGCTGCTCCCAGGGGGACACACACAGTGCACAGGGTTAGAGCTGAGGGGACACTCACAGAGCACAGGGTTAGAGCTGAGGGGACACACAGAGCACAGGGGTTAGAGCTGCTCCGAGGGGGACACACACAGAGCACAGGGGTTAGAGCTGAGGGACACACACAGAGCACAGGGTTAGGGCTGAGGGGACACACACAGAGCACAGGGGTTGGAGCTGAGGGACACACACAGAGCACAGGGGTTAGAGCTGAGGGACACACACAGAGCACAGGGTTAGGGCTGCTCCCAGGGGGACACACACAGTGCACAGGGTTACGGCTGAGGGGACACTCACAGAGCACAGGGGTTAGGGCTGCTCCCAGGGACACACACAGAGCACAGGGTTAGGGCTGAGGGGACACACACAGAGCACAGGGGTTAGGGCTGTGCTGAGGGACACACAGACACACAGACACACACACACACACACACACACACACACAGTTCATCCCTAACATCCCCCCGGGGTGGGAATGCCCAGCTTCCAGGGAGCAGGAGGGATTTGTGTGCAGGGGAGTGAAAGAAGCCTGTTGGTACTTACAGGCTGCTCTGTTGTCTCGTAGCCGTTCCTGACATCACTGGGCACAAGAGGAGTGAGAACAAAAACGAGGGCCAGGAGGCCCTGATGTACTGCAAGTCCGTGGGGTTCCCCCACCCCGAGTGGGTGTGGCGCAAGAAGGTCAATGGCGTGTTTGAGGTGAGGAATGGGGTCAGGAACCCTGCCCAGACCCCCTGGGGGGGGGGAGAGCAGCACCCTGGGGTCGGGCATGGGCTGTTAAAGGAGCTTTGTGACTGCTCAACGTGCAGTCCCTCCTAAGTGTGAGTGAAGGTGGGTATTTTTGGCAGCAGGGAGGATGGATGGGTGAATATAAAATTGATATTTATATATAAATAATATAAATATTTAAAATAAATATGTAGATACAAACTTGATGTTTATATTACTGGTATGTGAAAAAAATTGCTCACTGCACTGCTGGGCAAGTTTAAGAACTTACCCTGAAACGATTTTCTGAAATTTGCTGCAAACTGCAAGACTGACTTAGAAATGTGATTTAAAAACACATTGGGTTATAAGTTCCTCCAAGTTTTACTGGTTGAGCTCACAAGACTTTAAATGAGGAGGTGGCAGTGATCCCTGTTGGAGCTTGGGTGATCTGTTTGTTCCATGTAGCCAGTGATGTGGTGAGCAGGAAAATGTGACCAGCAGTGGGAATAGCAGAGAGGAGTTGGAATTTGCAAACCCTCCAGCCCAGCTGTTTCCTGTTGCTGCATGGATTGGATGGATGGAGCCAGAATGTGAAGCAAATAGCAGGATGGGATGAGTGTTCCCTGCTGAGTGTGAGCTGGAGGTTTTAAGGAGTGGCTCAGTGCTGGCAGTGATCAGAGCCCCGAGTGCAGGTTCTCTTTGTGGTGTTTATAGAGACAAACACCAGGCCTGGGCTCCTCCCTCAAATCTCCTGTTCCCGTGCCACAAAGGCCTTAAAGCTGTTCCCATTTCCCACCCCTGTCCCTCTGCCAGGACATCAACAACTCCTCGGGCAGGTTCTTCATTTCCAACAAAGAGAACTACACCGAGCTGAGCATCACAAACCTGCAGATCAACGAGGACCCCGGCGAGTACCAGTGCAACGCCACCAACCAGGTGGGCTCCGTGTCGGTCACCACCATCCTGCGCGTGCGCAGCCACCTGGCCCCGCTGTGGCCCTTTCTAGGCATCCTGGCAGAGATCGTCATCCTGGTGGTCATCATCGTCATCTACGAGAAGCGGAAGCGGCCGGACGAAGTTCCCGACGGTAAGTGCGCCCCGCGCCGCCGCTGAGCCGCCCGGCCCCGCTGCTGCTGCTGCTGCTGGAGGAGCCGCTCTGCAGGAAGGACCAGCAGCACAGCCCGCCCCGCTCCACGCTCCTGCCTTTCTCCTCTCCTCCCTCTCCGGACATGAAGCCCACAGGGCTGGATCTCAGGGGTCTCAGGGGGGTTGTGGATGTCTTTAAAGCTTTGTCGCATCTCTCTGTGTGTGCGCCCCAAGGAGCAGCACAGGGCAGAGCTGGCAGCACCCTCACTCCTGGTGGCATTCCCCTCTCCCCGTGGATGGACACTGGGCTGGGGCTGTCGGGGGACATTACACTCCAACCAAGGAATCATTGCACTTCAAGGGATTGGGGCTGCAAAGGTGCTTCAGAACTAAAATGTGTGCAGGGTTCAGAGAGGGGGGGAGGGCTCTTACTCTGCTGTGTAGCTGAATCTGTAGTTAAGGAATGCTCTGGAACCTGTGTCTATTGTAGCCTCTGATTAGATTTTATAAAAATAGGGCTTATTATCAGGTTTGATGGTAGCAATAATTAATTAATTCATCTGTGTTTGGTACATACAACTAGTAGTAACTTTTATCTATGAGCTCCTGCACACCTTCCCCTGTGCACAGCTGGGGGAAGGGGCAGTGTGAGGCTGAGTATTTCCCAGACCAATGCTGAGAAACAGCCTTTAATGTGCTGCTAGCAGCTTACTCCAGTGTGTAGCAAGAAAACCTCTGTGAGGACTCCTTGGGAGAAGCAGCAGGAATGTCGTGGTGCTGCAGGACCTCGATGGAACAGCCATGGGGCAGGTGGAGGGCAGCGTGCTGGAGGGATCCTCAGCACCATCCTGGGCTGGCCAAGCCCTTGCAGTGAGAGCTGTTCCCCAGGGCAGCTGGGTGTGGCTGTGGGGCAGTGATGGGTGTGTGGGGTGGGCACAGCTCGTGGAGCACAGCAAATGGAATAACGGGAGCAGGGCCGGGGCTTGGATCAGAACTGGCTGAGGTAGTGCATCCCCAGAGAAAACCAGCTTTGGTTGTAAGCCTTGAGTAGCACTTACTAACTGCTTACAGAGCATGTGTGGGGGCTGCCCTCAGGGTGGAGCTCCCTGTTGAACCGTAGTGCATGTTCTGTGCATCACTAACAGCTTCCAGTGGCTCCAGGGCTTGTCCTGCCCTCAGCGTGGCCTCAGGGACCTCCACCAGCCCGGAAAACTTGGAACAGTCAATTTTTATTTTCCTCCTCCTCCATGTCAGTGATCACACTTCCCCACATTCAGAATTTTCATTGGATGGGGTTTCACAAGGACCAAAACAAGGTCCTGGGAATTTGATACACAAATATTCCCTGCCAACAGCCCCAAATGGATGGAATCCAACAGGAATTGGCTGCGGTGTGAGCAGATCACACTGGAGTGAAGAGTTCCCTGCCTCTTTCCAAGGCTGGAGTTTTCCTGGCTGGTGTGGCCGCTCCCCAGGTACCCGAGGGATGCAGGCTCATCATCCCCCTGGAGCTGCCCAGGATGATGAGCCAGGGAGCTGAGGTCACTCCAGTGCTCACTGGGGCTGCTGTTGTGAAGGCAGAGCCCTGGGCAGTGACATGGCACACCTCCATAGGGGTCAGGTGTTCTCCCTGTCCCCTTTCCTGCAGGAGAAATCCATGCTGAGTGTGACAGTCCATAGCTGGGGATGAGATTTGCCTGGCTGATGGACGCAGCTGGCACCATGCCACCCTGAGTGCCACATTCCTTGGATAGTTGTGCATTTTCCATCCTGGCACCGAAGCTTTCCGTGCTGCCGTGGTGGGGAACGCCCCAGGGGCATGGCACGTACAAATGCACACGTGGGAAATCATCAGGAGCCTCCTGATTGCCACGTGGGGATGTTTGACCGGGGTTATCCTGAATTCTCTTATTTTCAAGACATGGTTACGAAATGCCAAAGTTAATGCTGGAATGCAGCGGCGCGCTCAGAGTTTGGGATTTCAGCTCCCCCCCAAAATCCCACCTCCGTCTCCGCTGCTGCAGAGGGAGCTGTGGCTGAGCCAGCACTGAGGCCAAACACACAGCAGCTGGCACAGCCAGGAGCTCTGCTGGCTTTTCCAGCCCTGGTGTCAGTGGGAATTGCTCACCTTTAGGGATGTGCTCATGGCACAGCTCCACATGAGGTGGTGCTGCCCTTCCTGCTGGGATGGGAGTGTTCTCCTTGGACCTCTCCAAATTTAGACACTGGGATTGCTTCATCATGAGCACCATCACCCCCTCTTCCCAGGGTGGAATGGAACTCTGGAGCGCCCTTCTGGCGTCCCCAGGTGTGTCAGCCTGTGTCCCACAGCAGTGTGAGAGTGGGTGGCCCCACTGGATCTGCTGCACGTCCTGCCGGGGATGGCTCTGGCTGCAGATCCTGGAAAGAGCCTGAGGGTTGGGTGCAGGTGTTGGACCTGTGGTGTCCCCACTCTGCAGGTGCCACTCGTCCACCCCAGGGTGTCTGCCACTGTCCCTCAGGAGTCCTCTGATGGCCTGGCCACCGTCTGGCCTGCTGAGAGGAGTGCACAGAGAACTGGAAGTGTGGCTTACTCAGACCACTCCTAAGGATTGGTTTTAAAATTTGGAGAAAACCAGTGCTGCTGGAGAAAACGTGGCCACTTCCTGTGGAAAATCCACTTCCTCAGGAAAACCAAAGGCTTTTGGAGCAGAAGGAGCTGTTAATGAACTGCTGGAGCACACCTTGGCTCCTGACTGGGCAGTGCAGGATGAGCTGCTGGTTTTGCATTCTGCTGGGAGCTGCAGGTGCCCACAATGAGCTCTCACCTCCTGCTGTGCCCAGGTGATACTTTAGGGCTGGCTCAGTTAAACCTGCACAAATGACAACGTTTGGGGTGTGCTGGGTCAGCTCCTCAGGTGAGACCAGCCTGGTGCTGGGCACAAGTGCCCACTTGGTCCTGGGACAAGTTCCTGGGAAGTGTTCTCTGGGTGAGATCCCTCAGGCCTCTGGAACTTTTTCCCCAGCACATGGAAATTCTGCCTGGCCAGCCCAAAGCAACAATTGAATGTTTCCCTTTCCCTCAGATCTCCATGTTCTACAGGCTTCCCCTGCCCTGGCTCAGCGTGCCCATGGGAGGCTGGGGAGGGTGATGGGCTCCAGGGTGCACTTGGGGCAGTTCAGTGTGAAGGTTCCCTCTGTTGGAGGCGCTGGCAGAGCAGGGACTCTCCTTTAACTTTGGCATTTCCTGACTGCAGGCCTCGGTTTTGCATGGACCTGGCTTTGTGTGTCTGTGAGCTGCTTGGTGTGCCTCGGGCCAGGGCTGCTCAGGAGCTCCTTGGCTGATGTTTCCTCCTTCTCAGGACTCTGATTTGGGAGCTGATTGTTTTTCCTGCTGCTGGAGAGCAGGAAAAGGAACATTGCACCCATGAAATCCCTGTTTCCACCAAAGCAGTGGCATCAGGGGGTGCCTGGAGCAGGGTTTGCTGTGGATGTTCTCCCAGCACACCCAAATCCCGTGCTGGAAGGAGGAAGGGAGGGCAGATGGCGCTTGAATTCCTGCATCCTCTCAGATTGAATTCCTGCATCCTCTCAGAACGTCAGTTCTGACCTGCCTTACACCTGGCAAGGCAGCGGCCAGAGAGCAGC